ATAAAAGCTATGCGTACATTATTAGCGCATAATTTCAAAAAAGCCAAATTTTGAGTTGTGTCTCTTTTGAAGACGGTGTGAGATATATGGATCATTGTACAGATAACGTACTTAATAAAACCATTTTATTAATGTATCACAAATCTAATATTTACAAAAATAAATTTTAACGAAAATCGAAAGAACGCGATTTTTCGTCCTTGTAAGTTATTTTCAACCTTTACTTGATTTCCGCGCCAACTTTTCGTCATCCAGTTAACACCAAATTTCATCCCAGCTATTGCTAGGTGGAAAGGAAAAAAAATAGCCCAATCCAATCATATAGAACATATTTTGAAAAATTTCCATACAGCATAAGACACGTCTACACTGTAGATACATACATTTGTAGGTACATAAGCAAAGTTTTTTGTTTTGTGCAATTGTCAGAAGGCTCAAAGTTATACATTTTTATAAGTAATAAGTTACTATTAAAAACTTAAAAGAAAAGACTTACGTTAAAAAAATTACCAAATTGAGAAAAAAATTACCAAATTACCAACTCCTTCTAAAAAGAAAAAAAATTACCAGTTTTGGTAAAAAATCGCAAAGCGGCAACGCTGATGTACTTGCGCGTATAACTCCATCAAGAGAAACGCGTCGAACAGCAGTTGGTAGCCGGAAAAAACGACAGTATATTTGTACACTGTTTACATACGTACATCCTTGCGCATATACCGCGAAGAACAACATAAACACACAGTTCGGCGGTTCGGTTAGCCAAAATAAGCAGCCGCATACTTATTTACACATTCTTTTGTGCTTTTATGTATGTACATACATACGTACCGATATACGGTGGAGCGTCGATCAAATAGTGAAAGCAAGCGTGTGTCCGCTTTTGGTTGCGATAGCAGCGAGAAAAACAGAACAGGCAGCGGCAGCGAAGACAGCAGAACGGGCAGCGACATCGAAGGAGCGGTAACCCAACAGGAAATCAGAGAAGTAGCGGTGTTGAGTAATATAAATTATAAGTAGTTTTGTCAAAATTGAAAGCTTCCTCTTATTCTTATTTCTTAGTATTCAAAACTATAATAATTAAAATTGCGTATGTACTGTGGTTAAAGGAAATTATATTTACAAGACTGTTCATATTATAAGTGTAAGCGTGTTTCTCGTAATCAACTACTTGTAAGGTGGATACCGACACGAGTAGGGAAATGACTGTGGAGATGTTGAAAGAAAGACTTAGGGAACTGAATTTGAGTGTGGTACAACACATAGTATTTGAAGGGGAAGGAGGCGAAAATGTTTTAAGTGAAAATTAGTCGACAAATTCTATTTACGATGATGCTCCGGCAGATAATTTAAATGGGCAAAAAGTGATGTTTACGCTGCGCGACATAGAAGATAGTGTTCCGTCATTTTCTGGGGACTGCGCCCGTGGAGTAAACCACTGGGTGGATGAGTTCGAAGAGGTGGCCAACGCGGTAGGGTGGAATGGCCTGCACAGGTATGTATATGCCAAGCAATTACTTAAAGGTGCTGCCAAGTCCTTCGCTCGGGGTTTAGTAGGTTGCAAAGACTGGAAAGGTTTAAAAGATGCCCTAGTAGAAGAGTTCGGGGAAAAGTTGAGCGCTTCTGAGGTCCACCGCGCCTTGAGAACCAGGCGAAAGGAGCCTAGAAAAAGCCTACATGAATATTTGTACGCACTGATAGAAATAGGGAAACCAATCAATCTCGATGAGAAGAGTCTCGTAGAATACTTTGTAGAGGGAGTACCAGACACGCGTTCAAGTAAGTCTATGCTACACTAGGCGAAAAGCCTGAAAGAGCTAAAGGAACAGATCCGAGTATACGAAAAAATTGGAGGGGACCAACGTCGTCAAACAGAGTGTCCATGCCTCAGACAAGCGCAGGGAAGGGTTTTAGCGAGAAGGTGCCACAAAGGAAAAAATGTTTCAAATGTAA